GGGTTTAACGTCCCAAAACCACGATATGATTATGAGAGACGCCGTAGTGGAGGGCTCCGGAAATTTTGACCACCTGGGGTTCTTTAACGTGCACCCAAATCTGAGCACACGGGCCTACAACATTTCCGCCTCCATCGGAAATGCAGCCGCCACAGCAGGGATTCGAACCCGCGCCGTGCGGGTCAGCAGCCGAGTACCTTAGCCACTAGACCACCACGGCGGGGCGCACCATAAACTTACGCGTAGTCCATGAATATTAATTGCTCATTCATTCGGAACAGGAATATCCTCACCGGCACCGAACAGCGGCTTGAAGTACCATGGCTATAAATTACATATGGTTAGTGTAAGGCTGTAAGAGTGATCACTCTGTTCATATATATGGTATTTTACAATACGCTCTCTTGTGTTGAATAATTCGAAGTGTACGTGTACCTTCTATGCTGATGCCACCTGCAATTGGATATTCCTTGACTGGTAGATTTTACTTTTTTTTTCACGATTTTTCAGTAATAAGGGTGTTTATACTATTGACAACAGCCCATAATAGGGGTTCTTGAGCCGCGAAAATTCCTTTTTTTCAAGGGTGTAAGGGTGTTAGTTATAAACGTGGTATAACTCCTGCAAGGGTGCAAACCTGTTTACTGTTATGAAGACAGAAAAACATACCAGAAAGTGATATCGGGGATGCTAAACAACAGATAATGAAACCATTACCTGGAGAAACAGTAAAAACAGGGTATACAGGTGGCTATTACAGTCACAGCACACTTCACAGGGATTTGCCAGTATATCAATAGTATTGTTCTTGATACTGCGTGCATGGTAGAAGACTTCTGAAAAAAAAAAACAAGCCCAATTATCACTGTGTGTATTCGACTCGTACATGCAACTATTCAGAGTCCTTATCTTTTGATATATGTGCGCCGTTCACCACCGCAACTACGGAGTTGCGGTGATGAGCTGTCATATTGCGAGTGATACTTTTTGTTGTATGGCTCGTCTTCGTAATTAATTTTATGAAAAAAAAATACTTTTCTCGCGTCCGTTATTTGTCAGGGTCGTGGTAAAAAACAATGAGTAAATGAAGATGATTCTTGAAGAAATAATGCATAAGAAATGAAAATGAACCCAGAAATTGAAATGCAGTACTCTGTGAAAACCAAGCTAAAGGCGATAGAATGGGGACAAAAAAAATGTGAGAGAGAGAGAACACAAGGAGAAAGGCAGGGAGGTTAACCAGGGCTGAGCCCCAGTAGGCTACCCTGCACTGGGGAAGGGGAGAGTCGAAGGAAAGTTATTGAGGAGGAAAGAAAAGGTCACTAACTGGGCCAACGCGTAACAGTTTCACCATCACAAACGATGAAACAGGCCGTTGTCTTTGAGAAAATGCAACAGTGCTTTCGTTGCCTTTCGGAAATTGGATGGGCAGTGCCATGGTCCCAATACTTTCTCGACAGTGAAATCACTTCTGTCCAGTTGATTTAAAACACTGCGCAGGTGAAACCTCTCGTGTATGTCGGGCAGTAACATAAGATGTGTTCAATAGTCTCATCGACGGCGCATGTCGTTGCACTCCGCGCTGTCGGCCATCCCTATCTTAAATGGGTAGGCATTGGTGAAGGCTATATACGCCCAGACGCAGACGGCACAACACTGTACCTTCCTCCCTAGATAGACCAGAGGGTAGCCACAGTCGTAGAGATGGGTCGAGAGAATATTGTCGATGATGTGCGAACTGTGATGACTGCCACTTCCGGAGTGTCATGTTCTGCGCCAGCTTACTTAGGCATCTAGCCGAGTCAATCCTATAGATAAAGGTATGGACACAGGGTTTTTTTTTGTACGTGTGCATTTCTGGCTGCTTCATCGGCGAGGTCGTTGCCGGAGACACCGCAATGGCTTGGTATCTACTGGAACACAACTTTATGTCCTTGTTCGGTCGCATATAGTGCAGCATTTCTCTGATCTCGCACACCAGTTGTTCGTACGACCCCCGACGAAGTGCCGACGAAAGACATTGTGAGAGCCGCCTTGGACAGAATACTGCCCATCGATTAGCCGGTTGTTGCTTGATATCATCGATGGCACCTCGCAGGGCAACAATTTCCGAACCAGTCGATGTGCTCACGTGACAAAGTTTGTAAGTGATGTTGATGTGTCGCGATGGGATAACGGTGGTGCCGCTGGAGCTAGTCTTGGAGGTAGATCCATCCGTGTATACATGGATTCTGTCAGCGTAGAAAGTGAAGTGTATAGAGTCGCTTGCTTCAAAGCCAAGGCAGAAAGGACTTTTCTATTTCTCATTCCTGGAACGGAAAGGCGCACGTCGGGTTGTCGTAGGCTCCACAAGGCGGAGAGTGAACGCGCCAAGGGTATAAAACCGGATGGTAGCACCCCCATCTCCTGTGAAGTACTGTTGAGGTGTCGCACCGTGACGCAGACATTTGCGGGGCTCACTTTTCTTTTCCCTCTTTTAGAATCGCTTCAGAGCGTGCGACACGCTCGCTCGCTGGATTCCGTGCCGACCAGTTGTGCCCTCGCGATCTCCGACGTCAGCGTAGCTCTGGCCGATTGGGCTGGACCTACGTCATCTCCAGACGCCGACCTCCGAGGACAGCGTAGCTCTGACCTACTGAACTTGCCCTACGCCATCTCCTGACGCCGACAAGAGCTCTCGCAAGTGGTGCCCCGTCCTCGGACTCCTGTGACCGTGTTTCCATCTTTCCTATCTCTCCTATCCCCATCGATATGTCCTCGCTCGCTGGCTTAGCGCATCTTTCTTTTTCCATACCTTTACTTCTATCCTTTTAATGCCTCCTCATTCCCATCCCCCGTGAGCTACTGTTGAGGTGTCGCACCGTTATGCATACAGTTACGGGGCTCACTTTTCTCTTCGTTTCCCTCTCTTAGAATCACTTCAAAGCGCGGTGGAAGCTGACGACCTTAGAGAACGACGCCTGCGGTCGTTCTTCTGGCAGAAATGTCAAATGGCTCGATACCATCCGTGAAATGTGCCGAATATGCACTCTCAGGAAGTCGGTTGTGACGTATAGGTCGTAACCGGATGATCGCGAGCCAATATAACTGTTCCAGCGGTTGAGGTAGTTTGTGGCAGGCTGAGACAAACACGTAGTGCCTGTGCTCGCACGCTCTGAAGTGCTCGAATGTTTGTCTTGCAAGTTTTAGTAAGCAGAGGAGAACTGTAGCGTAGTACACCAATAAAAAGTGCTTCGTAAAGCTGTAGCATGGAACTCAATGACGGACCCCATCTTTTTCCAGCGATGACTTTCAGAACGTGGGCAGTAGACACCAGTTTTGCTTTCAAGCTAGTCACGTGAGGGCTCCAGGAGAGGTCGCAGTCAACAATTAGACCTAGAAAACGATGGCTACGCTTGTAAAGAATTGTGAGAATAGCAAACAAAATGATGAGGTTTTCATAGTGCACGAGAAATAATATAAAAAAACCCAATTAAATGGGAAGAAAGTTCACCTTCGGTATGCTTGCGCATATACGTTTTAGTGTAAAATATATGCGCTAATTAAATGTTAAGACAGCGAATGTCTGACGCAATCGGAGGTCTTTTGACATAGTAAGTTGATATATAGCAAAAACAACGATGATTAAAACTTACTGCCGGCTCTTTATAAACACACACACACACACACACACACACACACACACACACACACACACACACACACACACACACACACACACACACACACACACACACACACACACACACACACACACACACACACACACACAATCACACACACACACACACACAATCACACACACACACACACACACACACACACACACACACACACACACACACACACACACACACACACACACACACACACACACACACACACACACACACACACACACACACACACACGGCGTAAAAGACTCAATGAAACAAAAAATTAAAAAAAAACGCAAGGTAACGTGAAACTGATCGCTCAACCAGCACACAGAGCTGAAAAGAGAAAAAAAAAACAAGACAATATAGTGGAGCTTTCTTTCGGGACTTCATTCACTCTAACAACGCCCCCACTATGAAAGGAATTCCGCGGCTCGGCTGGCGACGAGGCGCCTCAGATTTAGCGCTGCCCTTAATCCACCCCCACCATCCGCGCATATAACCCCTTTGAACAGCGCCCATATGGGCGCACGGAGGCGACAAAAGCAGCCAGGGGGAGAACAATAGGGAGTCAAAGTCGGGAAAAACAAACGCGCTTTTCCAACAAGCACGACGGCGGCGGATGCGCTAAAGTTTCCGCCCACGTTGCGCTCCCCCCCCCCCCCCCCCAACACTTTTCCACCAGCTTTTCCATGACGTGAGCCAACCTTTTCATCCCCCATCGTCGTCGGAGAGCCGCATTCTTCCCGACATCTTCTTTCCTTCCCCGTTTTCTCCCACATCGTAGGCACAGGATACGAAGTAAAGTGAAGGGAGTGTCACTTCTCGTACCGTTCTCTCGTTGCCGCCACCGAATATATACACGCCATCGTCGTATAGTGTGTCGCTCGGTAAGGTCGTTGAGGAAACGTGGAAGGGGGGGTAGGGGCCAAGGGAAGAGAAAGGGAGGACCTCTCCCGTCTTTTCCTTTCGATTGGCGGGCCCGCGGTTTGGAAAGGCGGGACTCTACCGGCACTGGGCGGAGCTTGGGGACCGACACGGGCGTTTCTCTCCTTGTCGCTTGGAGAAGTCCCCAGGGGACAAAAATAAAGGTAGTACAGGTCACCGGCAGTCACAAAAACCGGTGCCGCGTCCGGAAGGCGAGTACTGTAACAGCCTCTCGAGAGACGTCAACGAATTGGGAACGCCGGCACGGTACAGTTCGGCTCTGGCTTTGGTGTGGTGCGGTGGTGGTGGTGGTGGAGGCGGCGCTGGTGCTAGTTCCCCGTCTAAGCTGGAAACTTCTGCGACGTCAGCATTTCTCCGAGTCGGAGGCGGAGGCTCGGCGAGCCGCAGTCGTCGACCATGAGCACCAGTAGCGGCGGGTCTTCGGGCCTGGGCCAGCCGGCCACGGTGGCCGCTGCGGGCCTGCTCGGACTGCGCGTTGGGGTTGCGGGTTCGGCTGCGGCGGGTCTCCCCATTGCGGAGCGGTACCAGAGGACGCCCAAGTGCGCCCGTTGTCGCAACCACGGGGTCGTGTCGGCGTTGAAGGGGCACAAGCGCTACTGCCGCTGGCGGGACTGCGCCTGTGCGAAGTGCACCCTGATCGCCGAGAGACAGCGGGTGATGGCGGCACAGGTAGCCCTCCGGAGACAGCAAGCGCAGGAGGAGAACGAGGCCCGCGAGCTGAGCCTGCTGTACGGCTGCCACGACGGGCTGCTGGCCATGCACCGCGCCGGGTACACCTTCTCGGCGGCCATGGCACAGCTGCTGGCCAGGGACGCAGCGGCCGCCGCGGCTGCCGCTGCTGTCGCCGCGGGAGGAGGGACGTCCTCGCCGACGGCCACGACGACGTCGTCGTCACCGCCGCACGGCGGTGGACGCCTGGCTGCAGCCACCGCGCCGCCTGCCGTTGCCGCTACCGCAGGTGTGTGCCTCTGTCTATATAGAAATAGAAATCGAAAAGGGAAAGTAGTTCGGGAGAGGATGAAGTCAGGTTAACTGACGAGGACTGTAGCTTGAGCCAACTCTTCCAGGAGGACCGGTCTTCTTTAGTATCCTTATTTGCCCTCTTCTGTCAAGTTAAAACCCCTTGCCGAAACGTTGGAACCAAATACACGCCCTTTTTTATGATTTAGCGGCGTGTTGAAAGCGGCAGATTGGTAATCACTCCTTCGATAATCGTTCTCCGGTATACTGTGTCGTATATAGACAGTCAATCATTGTTCCCACTGGCTGGTATATAATATATATCTTCCGTGTAGTTCGTGTAGCTGCATTTCGTATGGCAGATTGGGGTTTTGATTCAGGCTTAGTTTATCGGACGTGCCACCGCAGAACTACATGTGCGTTGCGCACGATAGCGGTCATCGTTGTTGAAGCATATAGGTGATTTCCCGCCGTCCTTCTATTAATGGTTGAATGAGTTTACAAGTTGAAAACCTCTTGGTCGAATTCGCCACCTCAGCGGGAAAGTGCCTATGTCGGTGATCGGTTTATGAGACAATCTATACTGCATCCAAACAAGACAAATTCAGGGTAATATGCAATGTAGAAGCGAGGAGAAACTGGTATACCTTGACGAAGACAAGACCACTTGTCAAACGTCGGTGTCACCAACTTCCCCGACTCCTCAATCTATAGTACATGTTCGTAAGTCTTCTGCCTTGACTGTTCATCGTGATTTCTTCGTTCATGACTTGATCAATTGATTCTATATGCTGGTCATCTTTTACGTGACGTCACGATGCGGAAGATGAATGAGGCATGGTGCCAATCGCGAAAAGGTATCAAATACAGACACTGTATTTATGCTATCGTGTCGCCAGTATGGGGCATAAAGATACGTTAATGTATAACGCGCAGTTCGAACATTTGCACCGGAGTTGTCCTTTCAGGTTTTACAGCTATGGAAATGTGCCTGTAAACGATAAGGACGTCTGCTTTAGCGGTTATACTCACTCCATCTATCAGTCTGAGAGATCTTATGCGGAGGAGTGCGTTTACGTCTTGTACACTCCAACGTCTACTGTCATCGATAGTGTATGATTGATTGAAGCGAAGCATTCAATACCTGATTGTCGTTCAGTTTAAGTTGTGCTGAAGTACCCTGCTATACATTACTTGAATTATACGATTCCTATATGTATACCGGTACCTGTAGTCAAATTAAAGGAGCAACTGGGTATAGGTGTGTAAACAGGGAGTACACATATCGGAAAAATTGTGAATAGGGCAGAATTCTCTGGATCAGTGGCTCTCCAATGAGGGTCAACGCAGCCAATCTTTGACCCCCCTCCCTCCAAACAGCAAAAAGCGCGTTTTTGAGGCATATGTATACGATGTCCATCGACAACCAGTGGCTCTTGCTGATATTTTGTATGCTTCGCTACATAAAACATCTACATTGCAGCAGAGCTGACGTCTTTCACTTGCTCATGAGATGGCTGTAATGCTTTCGTTCCAGCTTTCTACGACGCATCAAGCGAGCACACTTTTTCAAGGCTTGCATATATATTCGATGAGAAAACATGGCTAGAAACGGGTTGAATGGGGCTGCTGAATGAACAACTTAGTGACGAGCTGTTGAAATTGAATATAGGCGTTCTAATAAGCTCTAATAGCGTGCCACGAAGCGCCTGTCCTCCCAGACTCTTTGAAGGTTTTAATGCACGACGTATCAGAGCTGTCTCAATATAGACCCATTTTGGCTTCTTACAACTTCGTTTGCAAAGCTCGGAGAAGAGATTTAAAGGCGACTCTGTGGGACGTGTATTACTTTGAAGATTCCGTGAATAAGAGGTGGAATTTGAAAGTTAGAGAAGGCAATGTCGATACAGGTCCCGAGTCGAGGTTCTCTTACCGCCGCTTGTGTGCTGCCTCCGCTTCACGGGCTCTCACTTTGGGGTCCGCCTGTCGACCAGCCTTCTTCGCAGCACAAAGTGCACATAATTCCTGTTGTGGTACCTCACTTATCGGCAGAATGAAGAATGGCGTATTGGGTGCTTCCCTAGGGAAGCACCCATTATGTATACTTCATTCAAGTATACTTCATACCCATGAAGTACACTTCATTTTATGAAGTATACTTTATGAAATTTGTGGTGGGCGTGTAGTGGGTATATTGCACAGCTGCGCCTATATCGCATACACGCCACGGGACATGCCCCCAAGCATAAGAAGCCTGGCGAGCAAGCTCCTAAAAACCATGGTTGATTCTTCCGTCAGGAATAGACATAACACAAAAGTGAACCATGTCCCGATGTGTAGTGTATTTATGACACATTGGTGTGTGAGAGTTTCCACATTATCTATTAATGTTTGGTCGCTATGGCACCGTTTGATGTGGTGCACCCACGTCGACGCTCATTGGCACATCTCCGTGCCTGCAACTAACACCTCAAGATTATGATTTAACCTTTGGGTTGATGATGACGATATGTGGAGTTGAACGTCCCAAAACCACCATATGACTATGAGAGACGCCGTAGTGGAGGGCTCCGGAAATTTCGACCACATGGGGTTCTTTAACGTGCACCCAAATCTGAGTACACGGGCCTACAACATTTCCGCCTCCATCGGAAATGCAGCCGCCGCAGGCGGCATTTGAACCCGCGACCCGCGGGTCAGCAGCCGAGTACCTTAGCCACTAGACCACCGTGGCGGGGCCGATTTAACCTTTGGGGTAGCTGAAATAGTTAACATGCACCTGGATATGACATACGCCGAAGGCCGCGGAAACATGACCTGGACACATATCACATACTGAATCTCGCGCCAACATGACATAAGCCAGCGCATAACACCGGTGCTCGATACGCACTCATTGAAAGCGCAGTAAATTGTTGAGAGAGACGTCAAGGTGTGTGCTCCCCAGTAAGGGGGAAACGTATACGCTTGTGTTCATGTATATATGCCACGCAGCGTTTCATGATTGCGAGAGGCTGAGTTCGTAGCTGCCCCACCGCGGTGGTCTAGTGGCTAAGGTTCTCTGCTGCTGACCCGCATGCCGTGGGATCGAATCCCGGCTGCATTTTCAATGGAGGCGGAAATGTTGTATAGGCCCGTGTGCTCAGATTTGGGTGCACGCTAAACAACCCCAGGTGGTCGAAATTTCCGGAGCCCTCCACTACGGCGTCCGAGTCTCATAACCATATGGTGGTTTTGGAACATCAAACGCCACATATCAATCATCAATCAGAGTTTGTAGCTGAATCCGTAAACGCGGGAAAGTGTGCCGCTTCCCGCTTTATCGAAAACTGAAACAACCGAAGCGCTCCCTATCGGTGCCCGCTAGTTTCGTGGCGTGGCCTGCCGAGATTAGCTCGGGCGACGCGACGTTGCTCAGGCTGTTTCATTCGCCCGGGGACAGCGTAATCAGAAAAAAAAAAAAGAGACGTGACAGCCATAAGAGCGTCCGCTGATGTTCACGCTATGACCGGGCTTGAGACGTGTCGTGTCGAACGGCGCGTTGCCAGAGCTAATCCCGTAGACCACGGTCATGATGCAGAGCCTGGCTTCACCAATCCCAGATGGTGACAACGCCCACTGTCAACATAGGTTGCTGTCAAAGGGAAGATGTGTGAGAGATACGAGGTTTATTTGTGGAGCCGCATACTTGAGCGTAGGGGGTATAGAGCACCAGGAAGTTGTCGTCGCGGACCGAGTAGTTGTGGGCTCGACTCTCAGATCGGCCAAAACAGCAAAACGTTTTCTTCGGCCATTTTTTTTTGGTCATCTTCATTTCACTGACGTATTTCAGGGACGGAAGTACGTCAGTAAAGTCTTGGTGTACCTCAGATAAAACTCTTTCGTGTCATAAACAAAGGGGGTCATTCTATTCCTCTTTTTTGTTACGTGTAAATAATTTCTGCTGCAAAACTCGATGATTTCTGTTTTCCCACTTCCTGTGTTGATAGGCGCGGCACGGGGGGAAGGGGGGGGGGGGGGCTCGAAAACTTATAAAAATGCTAAACAGTAAGCTTCGTTTGAACTCACGCTCACCAAAAATGCCTTTCTGTCGGGCCCACTGAAACCCGTGAAAATGCTGCTCAGCCTGGTCTATACTCAGAAACACACCCACAATACCATTCAGCCAGGGTTATTTTTACAAACTCACCAAGATGCTACTCAATAGGGCTCGCTTCTGCTCAGTATTCAAAAGGCTGCTCAGCCATGGCAGGCTCACATACTCGCCGAAATATTATTCGGCCTATTTCACTGAAATTAACCAAAACACGTTTCAGCCTTTCTCACTCAGACAACCATTGAGAAAGATGCCACTCAGCTGGGACCGTTTTTACAAACTTGCCAAAATGCTACTCAGTTGGACTCACCTATCTCACCTAAATCCTACAAAGCTGGGCTCACACAGCCTCACTAATAAGCATTACTAAGCCGGCCTCACAGAAACACGAAGACTCATTCAACTGCCATCGAGCCAGGCTCACTCACAACGATGATATACTCAGCTAGGTTCATTTGCACAAATTCGCCAAAATGCTATAGAGGGCTATGCACTTGACGTCATACGCGAGGATCACTAGCGTCGGGGCCGCCATTTTGGCGATCCGCGCGCTCGCCACACGCACAAAATTCTCGCTGCACGAGCTGTGTCCGAGATCCGTACAGCAATTAGGATGTCGAGAGACCTCTGGAACACCTCCTGCACGCCTAAGTACGGACAGCCGTACGAGCGTACGAACGGACCTTCAAAATGGCGTGGCGACAGTGTGGCCCCCTTGCGGATCAAGGCTCAGTGCATACCCCCTACATTCTCACACACACGGGTTGATCTATTGTTTGAGTAAGCCTACTAATGAATGAGTCGCCAACTAGCGATCGGCGCTCACGTTCTAACGTTCACCCGTATTCTGCAGTGTTGACATCGTTGCTAATCACAATTATTGGCAGTGGTTCATGACGGCC